AGTGGTTGAAGGTATAAGGGATTTTGGGCAATGATAAAATGGCAAAAGAGACGTTTAAATCTTTGATGTTATATAAGGCGAAACCGATAATGAAAGAACTCTCTCACCCGTTTGCACTAGATACTCACCTAGCCACAAAGACTGAGGATCTGTGTACTTATGCAATGAAATACTTTAAGGACATTGTCTCTACGAGAAGGCTCTATGACTGCTTCGATACAAACCTGGCAGAACATTATTCCTTTTGGGATTGTTCCTCCAAACAATTGTCTTTTGATATGAGACTTTCACTAGAGACCTCTATCACGTTAGAAGAGACCACACGTGCAGCTCGCCAAATGGCGAAAAGCAAGTTCCCGGGTTCGGATGGCCTTCCGATTGAATTTTTTCTTTCTTCATGTGGCTCCTTTGGCCAGTTCTTTTACGATATTTACAACAAAACATTGGAAATATGCACCCTACAAAAATGATTGGTAAAAGGAATGATATCCTTACTATACAAAAAGAGAGATAAGCGGGAGATACGAAACTGGCAGCCCATTTCTGTCCTGAACGTATCTTATAAGTTGTTCGCAAAAATCCTAGCCCTTAGACTTGCCCCAGTGCTTCCGAATTTGGTGGGAAATGAGCAAGGGGCTTCGTCAAAGGACGATCAATTTTTAACAACATTTTAGCTATAGTACAAGCACTTTGGATTATAAGCAAGGAAAAGAGAGAGGTTGTTATCCTCATGTTGGATAAGGAAAAAACCTACGATAAAGTAGGTTAAACTTTCGTTAATACCTCTTTAATCAATATGGGTTTTGGCGTCCACGTGTGAACCTGGGTTAAAGCCATGTATTCGAATGTTGCAACAACAGTCTGAGTCAACGGCCTGCAATCGGAAAATTTCAGGTTCTCCCGGTCCTTGAGGCAAGGGTGCCCTCTAGCACCCCCCATTTTTTTACTACAGCCATAAATTTTATTAACCGATATAAGATAAAACCCTTATATCGTGGGTCTACGCTTATCCCTTACCCTTCACTGGAAAGGGGGGGGCATAGCTGATGACCTGACAATTGCCTGCAAAAATTCAGTTACTTGCCCCAGTGCTTCCGAATTTGGTGGGAAAAAGTAAGGGGCTTTCGTCAAAGAACGATCAATTTTTAACAACATTTTAGCTATAGTACAAGCACTTGAGATTATAAGCAAGGAAAAGAAGGATGTCGCTATATAGAAAAAACCTACTATAAAGTAGGCTGGACTTTCATTAATACCCCTTTAATCAGTATGGATTTTGGCGTCCACTTGTGAACCTGGGTTACAGCCATGTATTCGAATATTGCAACAACAGTCTTAGACAACGGCTTGCAATCTGAAAATTTCAGGCTCTCCCGGTCCTTGAGGCAAGGGTGCCCTCGAGCACCCCCCATTTTTGTACTACAGCTAGAAATTTTATTAACCAATATAAGATTCAACCCTTATATTGTGGGTCTACGCTTGTCCCTTACCCTTCACTGGAAGGGGGGGGGCATAGCTGATGACCTGACGATTACCTGCAAAAATTCAGTTACTAGTTTTACAGAGTTAAGGAGAACCTTAGATGAGTATTGTAATTTGTGTGAAGCCTCAATAAACTGGGATAAGTCGGTGTTCTTTCTCTCCCCCTTCTTTGGGATTTGTGTGGAATGGGGTCTTCGTCACATCCCTGCAATTTCCTTTGACAGGTTCTTGGGTTTACAAGTCTCTCTTTCAGACTGCTCCAGGGTGCAAGATAACATCTTAGCAGAGAAGGTGGTGACATGTATTGCCGGCTGGGAACGCTGCACTCGACATTCACTCTTTGGGCGGACTCTTCTACTATCCTCATCAGCCTTCTCCTTATTGTGGTTTCCCTTGACGATTCATGCTTTGGGAGGAGAGGCATACAAAAAAATCAAGCTTGCAGCTGCTAGATACCTTTGGAAACCAGAAGCTTCAAAAAATCAGGGCTTCTTATCGAAGGTTGCCTGGGAAGTCGTGGCCACTCCAAGGAAGAAGGGAGGGCTAGGGATCCTAGACCCCCTACAATAGAACATAACTTTATTGGCCAAATGACCCATTCAGGCTATGATGGAAGGTGGGTCCAAGATCTGGATGGACCTAGCCGAGTATATCTTAGGGACAGAATGGGATCTATAAGAACACTCCAAAGTCTGGGTTTGCATGCTATTGCCGTCTTTTTGTAATTGCAGACCCAACTCGAAAACCTGCAGGAATATCCTGGGCGCATGGAATAAAGTCAAACCAACTGAACGCCTTCCCCGAACCTCCAAGCAGGAAGTGTTAAACCAAGAGCTATTTGAAAATTCAATGATTTTGAGACCAGATGACACCTGCTTTCAGCCGCAGAGTCGACGGGTAATTTTGGACTGAACTGGATAAAGAAAGGTGTCATACAAGTAAGAGATATTTGGGATACTATTCATTCCTGTTTTTTATAACTTTCCTAGATACGAAGCTTACTTCCACGACCACATAACGTGGCTAAACATTATTCCGAGCTCAGAGGGGCGATTCCAATTTCGTGGACCACATTGCTAATAACTTGCTACAACCGAACGTGGAACATGCCGAGGGCACGTGGCTCCAATCGGATGACCACCCGAACCAGGTAATGAAGGTCCTGGGTCCAGACTTAGTGGTTGGGCTTAGAGTTCAGCGATGGACCAGACGATCGGGAGCTGCTATCTCAGACAACCTCACCCTGGTCAATGAAGATGAACAGTTAAGCAACACCAGAAATATGGTACAGGTGAGAGTTCAAAGTTAGACGACAACCATCCTATTGCGTGATGCAGATAGGTTGAGAGTGGAACCATTACTTTTGGGATGGACGGACCAAGGGAGACAGGAGTTTGGTACCCCACTGTATCAATACCATCCGAAGGTAGGAGTCAAACTCCAACAGTCACGTTTGAAGAAAAAGGTGACGACTTCGGCAATGGACAGGGCGAAGGCAAAGCAATTGGAGGGTGTCACCGAGCAAAGGGTTTGTAACTTTTTGAAGGCTCTTAAGAAATATCCGGTTAAGAAACAAACCAGCATCATGTAGCTGCAATCCTTAATGGTAACCGTTACAGCCATATGACTTTCGACCAAGGGAATGAAAGTTTCAACTCATTGCTTGAGATGCAACTGAGGATGGGAAAATATGATCCACCTCTGACTCTTTTGTCCATTAGTTGATGATCTGCTAATATGGTGGAAAAAACATTGGAAACACAGTAGGGAAGTGCTTTGATTGGTCATACTTTTGGATGTTTACATGTCTTATTCTCGAGGGCATGCACTACACCTCGGACTGGGGCTATGTTGCTCTCTGTTGTAGGGGAGTCTTAATGGAGACTATATGGTCGACTCGAAATGCGAGAGTCTTCAGAGGAGAAGAAATCTCAAGGCAATAACAACAATTAAACAAAGCATAAGAAGGATTATCCAAGTCGGCTGGCATTGCAAGAACTTCATATGGTTTCAACAAACATGGGCTCGCAATAACAGACTAGCCTCCATCAACCAAGAAGGACACTATATTATCTGTGTTTGATTATCAAACACACATGATTGACTAGGGCTGAAGATAGGCCTGATCCAGTAAGGTTAGTGTAATAGGCATACCGAGGTCTCTATTTCCCTCCTCTTGGTAAGATTGGAGGAAACGTCGGGTTTACTACTCGGTGCTATGAAAACATTAGAGATCTGCCTAATTTTAGTTTTTTTTTTTTTTAAATTGAGAGGAATTTTCGTTAAACCCCCAGTACCTCGCCCAAATTGAAAAACCTGATGTGGCCGTTAACGCGTCACGTCGGGCGGGGTACCCACCCGTGAACGACCGATATTCCCCAAAAAACGGGCAAAAAAAAAAAAAAAAAAAAAAAATCCAAAAATGAGAAGTAACCAAAAAAACAAAACGGGAGGCCAGGGGGAAAGGGGAAAGAACGAGAGAGAGAGAGAGAGAGAGGGCGACAAGGAGTTTCCAACACTGAGTTTGGTCACCAAACTCCCTGACGCCCTCCCTCTCTCTCTCTCTCTCTCTCTCTCTCTCTCTCTCTCTCTCTCTGTGAGTGAACCTCTCATGAGAATGAATCTTCCTCTTTCTCGAGGAAGATTCATTCTCGTTAGGCATGTCTGATTTCCTTTCTTTTTTTTTTTGCTGAATGTTATATGTTTTTTTTCATTTTTTTTATTTTTCTTAGTTTTCTGTGATGTACTACCCGTCGTCCGAGGCTCGGCAATAAAGTCCGAGGCTTGGGAATGCTCGGGCTACCGGTAGTCTGAGCCTCGGATTTGATAGCTGAGCGAGGTACTGGTCACTGGACCCGTTTCCAGGAGGCTACCGGTAGTCTGAGCCTCGGATTTGATAGCTGAGCGAGGTACTGGTCACTGGACCCGGTTTCCAGGAGCCTACGGCTGGGTAATGGCCCGAGCACGTATTGTACCGGGTTGCTTTGTCCAGGTGTGTTCCCGGGCCCCTTTTTTGGAATGAAAGTGCTATCTTCTCGGAAAAAAAAAAAGAAAAGAACCATGCCCAAAACTTCAAATCGGCCCTTCCCATATCCGCATATTTTGCGGATTTGGGGTCGCCGTGTGAGTATGCTCTCAGGTTCGACAAAATAGGGTTGGTTGCACCCGCGGCTTGAGTCAGTAGGGATTGGATAGGTATTGTTTGCAGGCTACGACGTCCGTGCTGGTGAACTCCGCCAGGTTTCCTCCACTTGCTTTGCAACAACACGAATATGCACTGGGAGTATGGCAACAGTGTCCTGGCCTAATGGCGATGTCGAGGGAGGGTAATTTGGGGGCCGGTTCCCGGATCCGGGCTGGTGGGCGCTGTCGTTCAGTCACCATCGCTGCCAGTTGAGGAGGCTATCATCGGCGATAACGACATCATCGGCGTGCTGTAAATCATCGGACAAGTGTCATCCATTGAAGCACCGTGTGCTGTTGATGGCGGCGCGGCGCGGGAAGCACCGTGTTTTACGATAAGGAACTGTGTGGCGCCAGCGAACTCGCGCTAAGGGGAGCGATGGAAGGTTTAGGAATGATGAGTCGTCATCAATTTGAAGCTGCTCAAGGGAGGATATCAATCCCGTTAGGGCGGCCGACAGGCGTGCCGCCGATTGTGCAATATGGTCCAGCAGTGGCAGCTTCGTTTTCCGATTTTACACTGCGAAATCGGGCTCCGCTATGGCGAATTCCCACACCGCCAGGTTACCATCGGCAACATGTACCAGCTGTAGTCGTTGGACCTGGAATTGTTCACATTGGACCTGGAATGGCTCAGGAGGATCTGATCGAGCTGGACAGGTTGCACAAGCGTGCCAAAGTGTACGACGAGCTGCCGGCGATGATGAAGTTGTCTGCGGAGTCGACTTTGGGAGCGATGCCAGGGAGAACAATCACTGTGAAGGAGATCCAGGCCGATAGATTGACGGCGATCGCGATGGCCAATTGGGCGGCGACGGCGACGAAGGGGGAAGGCACAGCGGCACCGCCCAAGAAGCTTTCGTTCAATGCGGATTTGGTGCGGAAGATTTACCGTACGGAGCTGACAGGTCAGGGTGGCAGGTCAGTGCCCCTGCAGCGTGTGATGCTGCTCGAGATCAGCCAGTACCTCGAGAAGTACCTCTGGCCCAACTTCGATCCAGAGACTGCCACGTATGAAAACGTCATGTCGATCATCTTGATGGTTAACGAGAAGTTTCGAGAGAACGTTCCTGCGTGGCGGTGTTTTCACGATCGCGAGGAGGCTTTTCGAGGGTTTTTCAGAAGGGTGCTCACTCTGAAGGACGGTAGATCTCTCACCGTGCGTGAGAGAGTGAACTACCTGCTCTTCGTGATCAACTCCTTCCAGAGCCTCGAAGACGAGATGGTGAGGAAACAGGCGCTTAGGGTTGTCTCGTGGCAGCTATGGCATTCGCTCTCGCCGGGGAGGCTTCAGATCGAGTTGAAATCCCATCCTCAGTTGATTGACAAGTGGGCGAAGATGCTGAAGAAAGAGAGTCGTGCAGCATCTACCAGCAGTGGTGGTGGATCGAGATCGCGTCCTCCGTTGAAGGACAGAATCGAGGTCAAATTCATTCCGTCCCTAATTTCAGAGTTCCTCGAGATACTAAGCCAGGTCATCATTGCGAGACCAAAGAAAGATCATGGCGACGGCGATGATCGTTCACTGGCGGCGGCGGTGGCCGCGGAGGATATGGAGATGGATGCACAGGATGGGGAAGCAGAGGGGAAATCGAAGGGTGCAGATAAAGGAGAGTCTACTCACCCAGCAGCAACAGCAACAGCAACAGCAGCAGGAGGAAGGGGAGAAGCAGAACTGGACCATGCAGCATTACTATACTGTGAGCGCTTCGTGGAGTTGATGATTGATTTGCTAAGTCAGTTGCCTACTCGAAGGTTTGTGAGGACTGTTGTGGGCGATGTGGCGCTTGTCGTCAAGTGCAGGATGAGCGCGCTCTATTCCCATCCTAAAGGGCGGCTCTTCAGCCAGCTGGTGGACCTGTTTCGCTTCTATCAGGGTTTCGAGATCGATGATCACACAGGAGAGCAATTATCGGACGACAAGATCGCTGAGATGCACTGTTCGAGGCTGCAGGCTCTTCAGCGACTGGCGTTCAAGCAGTGGCCTCAGCTTCGGGAGTTGGCGCTAAGTAATGTGGGTGCCATTGAAGAGTACAAGGACCTGAAGATGCATCTGTTGAAGTTGAGTCGGGATGAACTCCACACGCTTGTCACGAAACAGCTGCACCTGGTCGCTCCAGACGATCCTTGGGCAGATCGACATGACTTCCTCCTCGAGGTGATCCTCTCCTCTTACCAGAAGAGATCGTCTCAGCGAGAGGCCATCAATGAGCTGCCACTTTATCCAAATGAGGATGTGCTATGGGATGAAAACTTGGTCCCCAGCATTAACTATACAGGCGAGGGGGCGCTGGCGCTTCCCAAGTTGAATCTCCAGTTTCTGACCTTCCACGACTATCTTCTTCGCAACTTCAATCTGTTCCGATTAGAGTCTACCTACGAGATCAGGGAGGATATCCACGATGTTGCCAAGAGGATGTGTGGGGTGACGAGTACGGAGGGGTGTGTAACTTTTCGGGGTTGGGCACGCATGGCAGTGCAAATTCAAGGGTTCAAAATCACCCAGGTAAAGGCCCCACTGATCGGAGAGATGAAGCCGGCTGTAGTTCTCGCTGAAGTGGTGTTTAGCATTGGCTCCTTCAAACAGGACATACGGGCGGAATGGAACGACTTGAAGGAACACGACGTGCTCTTCTTGCTGACCATCCGACCACCTCCTCTCTCTCCCGACTGTTTGTCTGCCGTTGGGAAGGATGTATCTGTGCCCGAAAAGTACGGGATTGTTTATGTCAGAGGTTGCGAGGTCCTCGAGATCCGAGATGAAGGGCTGTTGCTGATGAATGACTTCAGTGGCAAGACGAAGAGGGAGGACTGGAAGCCACCCGCAGGGGATCAGCGGACACTGCTTGTTGCCCTGGATGCTGCACAGTACCAGATGGACATGGTGGCTATGGCGGCTCATGGTGCCGAAGATTTGTATGGTACGTTCAACGTCCTGATGCGGAGAAAGCCTAAGGAGAACAACTTCAAGGCCATTCTGGAGTCAATCCGTGACTTGATGAACGAGGACACGGTGGTGCCTAAATGGCTGCACGACATCTTTCTCGGCTATGGAGACCCGGCTGCAGCTCAGTACCACAACATGCCTGACCAGCTGGAAGAGATAGACTTCAAGGACACATTCCTCAGTGCCTCCCACCTCCGGGAGTGCTTCCCTGATCACGACGTTCAGTTTGTCACGGCGGATGGCTATGCGATTACAGACAATTCAACAGCGGAGGTGGAGCCATACCCCCCTTTCCGTGTGAAATTCCTCCTTTCTGACATGGAGACAACCTCAAATAAGGCGGTGGCGGCAGCAAGAGGAGGGTTAAGTGGCCACTGCCGATTGCGTGCAGACGTAGCAGGAGGCGATGATCCGATTGTGATGGATGGGGAGGGGAAGAAGAAGAAGAAGGAGAAGAAGCCAGTTCTGCTTGCAGAAGCGTATGTGCCACCTGATCCGGGCCCTTATCCACAGGATAAACCAAAGATGAATGCAGTACGATTTACGCCTGTGCAGGTGGAGGCAATCAAGTCAGGGGTGCAGCCTGGGTTGACGATGGTGGTGGGCCCACCGGGAACTGGCAAAACTGATGTTGCAGTTCAGATTCTCAATGTGTTGTATCACAACTGCCCTGGACAACGAACCCTTCTTATCACCCATTCCAATCAGGCGCTCAATGATCTGTTCGAGAAGATCATGCACCGAGATGTTCCAGCAAGGTACCTGCTTCGTCTGGGAATGGGTGAGCAAGAGCTGGACACCGAGCAGGTGTTCAGCAAACAGGGAAGAGTCAATGCGATGCTTGCTCGTCGTTTGGAACTGCTTGCGGAAGTAGAGAGGCTGGCAAGAACGCTAAATGTTCCAGAAGATGCAGGGTACACTTGTGAAACAGCAGCCCATTTCTGGCTCCTGCATGTGCTTTCCCGCTGGGAGAAGTTTGTTGCTGTGTGCGAGGAATCTCAGACACCTGGTGTTGTGAAAGAGCACTTTCCGTTCAAGGAGTACTTTGCAGATATGATCGTGGGGAAGGCTGGGACTGATGCAGAGACGGCGAGCGGTCTCTTCAGTGGTCTGTCCTATGTGCAGGACATGCGTGCGGCTACCGGATGTTTCCGGCATTTGAAAACGATGTTCCAGGAACTGGAAGAATGTCGGGCTTTCGAGTTGCTGAAGACGACGAACGACCGAGCCAATTACCTCATGACGAAGCAAGCGAAGATCGTTGCGATGACCTGCACACATGCTGCCCTCAAACGCTCCAATTTCCTCCAGCTGGGCTTTAAGTATGACAATCTCCTGATGGAGGAGAGTGCTCAGATTCTTGAGATCGAAACGTTCATCCCCATGCTATTGCAGCGCCAGGAGGATGGAATCGCTCGCCTCAAGCGTTGCATACTGATTGGCGACCATCATCAGCTACCTCCTGTAGTGAAGAACATGGCGTTCCAGAAGTACAGTCACCTGGATCAAAGTCTGTTCACACGCTTCGTCCGTCTGGGCACTCCGTATATTCAGCTGAATGCACAAGGCCGGGCGCGACCGTCGCTCGCTCGTCTGTACAGTTGGCGATATCAGGAACTGGGCAACCTGCCTAACGTCTTCTTGGGGCATGAGTTTCAGGCAGCTAATGCGGGCTTTGGCTTCGAGTACCAGCTCATTGATGTGCCTGATTACGAGGGCGTCGGGGAGTTCGAGCCCAACCCATGGTTTTATCAGAACCTTGGGGAGGCAGAATACCTTGTCAGCGTGTTCCAGTACATGAGACTGCTCGGGTACCCGGCTCATAAGATCTCCATCTTATCCACCTACAACGGGCAGAAGCACTTGATACGTGACGTCATTGAACGGCGCTGTGCTCATCACCCACTCTTTGGGCGGCCTAGCAAGGTCACCACTGTGGACAGGTTTCAAGGACAGCAAAATGACTACATTCTCCTGTCGCTTGTGCGAACAAGGGTGGTAGGTCACCTGAGGGATGTTCGGCGATTGGTGGTGGCAATGTCTCGTGCGCGACTTGGATTATACGTGTTCTGCCGACGAAGTCTCTTTGAGCAGTGCTATGAGCTGCTGCCCACCTTTAAGCAGCTAGTTGCCCGGCCCGACAAACTTGTGCTGGTCGTTGACGAAAAGCAGTTCCCAACTGAGAGACAAGTCACGACTCAGCTACCCCCACAAAGGCTGCATTTTGTATGTGGCCTGGAGGAGATGGCTGCAATTGTGGCCAGCAGATATGAAGATTGGCTGAGGACACAGGAGGTGGAATTTGTGCACCGGCAGCGGACAGCAATTTGTGAACATCAGAAACAAATGCAAGAGTACCACCAGCAGCAGCAGCTGGAGCAGCAACTGCAACAGGAGCAACAACAAGAACAACAACCAGAACCACAACAGCAACAGCTAAAAGAACAGCAGACACAGCAGCGGCAGGAGGAGGAGGAGGATGGGGACAAGCAGCAGCAGCAGCACCGGCAGGAGGAGGAGATCCAGAAAGGGAAGAACCAGGAGGAGGACATCCAGAAGCAGCAGCAGCAGCAGGAACAGCTGGAGCCGCAGCAACAGGTTCAAGAATGACAGATCAGTGCAAAGGATCTCGAAATGCGAAGTGCTGATGCATCATCATCCCAGACTCTCTGTGATGTCAGAGTTTTGTGCCAGTCTGCCACCCCCAATCGGTAATGTAAATGTGAACTGACCTTGGTGGTAGTGAACGTCCAAGTTCCCCAGATATGAACATTGGCTGAGGTCACAGGTGGATTGTAAGCATGTGCAGCAGACGGCAATTTGGAAACATCGGAAACAAATCCAAGGGCAGCAGCAACAATGGCAGCGGGAGCAGGAGCTGCAACATAAAAAAAACAACAAGAACAGCCCCAGTAACAACACAGTAACAGCAGCTGCGGCAGCAGCGGCTGTGGCAGGACCACAAAGAGGTGGAGGACGTACCCAAGCAGCAGCAGCAGCAGGAGGAGGAGGAGGAGACCAGCAGCTGCAGGAGCAGCAGGAGGAGATCCGGTATCAGCAGCAGCAGCGGGAAGGGAGGAGCAGCAGGAGCAGCTTCAGGAATGACAGATCAGCGCAAAGGATGTCGAAATGCGAACTGCTGAGGTAGCAGTACCTCAGCCTCTCCCTGATGACGGAGTTTTGCCCCGCAGTCTGCCACTCCTATTCTCCGATGTAAATGTGAACTGAGTAAGCTGACCTAGTCGATAGGAAAACTCCCAAGTTCTAACTGCACAGACTAAGTGATGATCTGCCAAAGCTCCAGGGGAGAAGCAAAGGAGATCATACAAATGTGGAGGTCACACCCGAGAGCATCAGGGACAAGTGTCTGCTGTCTTCCCCCGAATAGAACACCCGGTCAGTACCCCCGTATCTAGAATGAATGTTGGCCCAAATACGGCTGCAATTACTGTACGTTCTGTAGGGGTGAAGATGTTAGTGTCCAAACACTGGAATGGATTCTGAAACGTAGGTTAATGAGGGAAATGGAACGAGAGGGAGAAGGCTAGGATTGGTGATTCGAAAGTCCTGAGAAGGAACAAGGGGTAGAAAGAGGCACATGTAGTGCTAGATTGAGTGGGAACTGTAGACTATGCATCATGATAACGATAGGGGGTAGAGAGTAAGGAGAAAGAGTTGATTCGGAGGGGGCTAACGAGGGAACGGAAAGAGATGGAGAAGGCCGGGATGGGTCATTTGGCAACCCTCTTGGAGGAACAGAGGGAAGGAGGAGGTGCAAGTACCGTTAGGTCGAGTTGAAACAGTGGACTGCACACTAGAACGGAGGAGAACCAGAGCCAATTCTTGTGCTTAATGTCTGTTCTGGCAGCCTAGGACTGGTAGTTGGGCTGAGAGGAGTTGATTCTGTTTGTTCGTATATACGGATATGTCTGTCGCTTGAGCTCTTCTGGATGGGTGTATCTGGCAGTCAAATCTGTTGTAGAGAGAGCAATCAATGCTGTGGGTGGTTCCTCTGGCTGTAATGAGGGGAAGCATAAGAGTGGATTCCTTGTATTCCGGCTTGTCTGTGGACAAGGAACTGGACTGATGCTCCCCAGAATAGAATGGAGCCGTACGATCACAGGATCTCTCTCTCTCTCTCTCTCTCTCTCTCTCTCTTTTGTTTTGTTTTTCTTGTTTTCTTAAGTACACCCGGAAAGCTTTGTTCTGTTTAACCCTTCCCGCCATTCTGTGTCAATGTAGCCTCTGGCCACACTAAAGTTGGCATTTTTTCCTTTTCTTTTTGGAAATTCCAGTGCCGGTCCGCACCCCCGGGCACTTTGGGTTTCAAATGCCTCGTACATATTTACTTCCAAGCGATAGAGTTTCTGAACTTCCTGGAGCCTTTGCCCAACACAGGCTGACCAATCGAGTGGAGTTTTGAAAGATAGATAATGCGCAGCAGAGGATGGTGGGATTGTCTATCTGATGGGCTTTCGGGATGTATTTGGCTGTTCCGCTTGTGAGAATGCATTTGTGTCAGGAGGCATGTATTTACGGGAGAAGATGGGTAAGGACGATGAAGGTATGCCATTGGGCTTGATCTGTGGTAAGTAGGCATTGGTGGATGGCTCGCTGTTCATTTTTTGGTCGGAATGCCGGAGCGAATATGGACTGTATCTGGCTGGGATTTTGGCCCGAATGTTATTTTTTCCTGTGCACTTTGCTTGTCTATTTTGATGAGCTGGCCTCTGCAGCTTTCTGTGGTCTTTGCCTCTCGATGCGTAGATTGTTTACAATTGCAGGCTTCATTGTGTGCTCTTGCCTGTGGCTAGGAGTGATTGTGTGTCTTCAAGGTTTGCAACTTATTCTTTCTTGTCTTAGTGTGTTCTTTGATCAGTCAGCTTCGAGTGCCTCCATCCGATCTTGGATCGGCTATGTTTTTTGCAGACTTTATGTACTAGAAGTGATTGTAATGAACCCAGTCAGAAGTGAAACTCATCAAGTGTTGAAATACAAGATGTCTCAGCACTGATAAATGTCTCCAATAATCATGAAATGTGATCTGTAATACAATGTCTTGTAACCATAAGACGAAGCTGATGGGGGGGAGAATATACTTACAGGGTGGAAGAAAAAGTATCCATCAATGTCCTTGTAGATAGATCCCCCTCAATCCCCACTCCTTCTCCGGGCCTCTCCCCACGTCCACGTCAGGAAACAGTATCCAAGTAACGAGTCTGAGAATATCTGATCACAGCATAGTGCCACGTAGGCAGAAATCTTCCATGAAGATTGCTCTGCACTGCGCAGTGTCGACAACATCAACAGGTAAGTTTCCTTCTCTCTCTCACTCAATCAATCTCACAGTTCCTGATCTCCCTCCTTGTCGCATCCCCAAACTGCGTCGAAGACAGTGTGGCATGCGCCATGATAGTAATGCCAAAAACTTGCCACGTCAGCAACCAAGAAGACAACTGGCGCCCAAAAGCAGAAGGGCGCCAGACGCAATGCAGCAGTCTCGCGTCGTCATCACACAATGCCAGCGTAGTACCAGCTTCTTGCCAGCGTTAAACCAGCATCAAGCCAGCGTCGTGCCAAAGTCTAGCAGCAAGTGCAAGACTGAATGTTGACTCCCAGGGGCTGGGTCAATAAATAATGTTGACGCCCCTTGACCAGCCTCTGGTCTCTTACAGACATAGGCTCGGATTGACTCACAGCCAAAGGACTGAATCTCGTGCAGTTACAAGCTTCCACTTGGACCAAATTTTGCCTGGATACCTGCGTACAACCAAGTGTGTGCGTCTGATCAGTGGCCTGGATTGAATCCGTGAAGACTTCGACTCGTGAGTGTCAACATGCCGAGTTACAACTGACTTCGGTCAACTTTCGGGCACAGGGCTTCTAAAGCCTTGTTTCAGGGATTATATTTTCCACAGTCAGATGTAGGGCCTTGAGGGCGGTCTGTGGCCTGAGGGTGGCCCCCTTGGCCGACGACAAAGGCATATTTATGCGGGTTATCGCATTCCTGCCGGCTCAATTTTTCAAGTTCCATCGTAGAAATCCTTTAGACATAGTTGAATAATTCTCGCTCATATGCATAGAGATTATGGGGAGCTGTAGGTAAAAGCTCTTTTTTGCTAAACCATCGAGCTTCAAATGAGGGTTGAGACGTGAACTTTACCTTGAACTTCTTCTGTTTCCTACCTCAGCCACGTGCAAAAACGTATCCATGTTCAAGTTTTTTCTCAACTTCGTAGCCTCCATCCATTAAAAGAAGGAAGTATAGATGACCTATTGGGGAAATCACGTCCTTCTACGTATGGCAGTAGTTTAGAGGCATGAAAGACTACATATGTTTTGAGGTGTGGGGGTCAATCTATTCTATATGATGGTCCATCAGTATCCCTTATCACCTTGAGAACTTCCCATGACCCATAATAGATAGGTAGCAGTTTTTGTAATACATTTTTTTCTGAGGACAATTCTGTAGACTTGACCCACACAAGATTTTTTTCTTTGAACTCAGATGGGCGACGATGTTTGTTAGCCTGTTTAATTATTTGCACTTGAGCTTTTTGAATATTTTCGTAGACTTTTTTTCTTTTTTCTTCATACAGAACTGCAAATTCTCATGTTCCTGGGAAAGCCGTTGGACTTGGTCACGTGTCAAAGCATCAATGGGACGTTGCCACTTCCATCCTTGCGAAGTACGTTTGGGATTCTACCGGTGATGGCGTGAACACTATTGCTACACACACTTGCAATCTTAAGCAAATTTTCATCCCAATCTATCTCATCTGGTTGTACATACATTAGCAAAAGTTGTTGGCAAAAATGATTCATCTGTTCAATTTATCCTTTCGTTTTAGGGTGTCTCCCTGACAACATGGTCAATCGGGTGTCGTACGCCTTCAACTTTTATCACTGTTGGTCAGTGAATCGTACATCCAGATCAGAGATGATGGTTATTTTAAATCCATATCCTGAAACCCATCGCATCTGAAACTTCTGAATGACGAGTTTTTTTCTAGCTTCGACAGATAGAGGAATGAATGTAGCATATGTAGAGAATCGATCCGCAATGACCATTACCGGATTATTGCATTCCGACTGTTCGTGAGACTCATGAAATTAATTGAGGTGGATTCACCTTATTGACTTGGAATAGGGAGTGATCTTCACAGTCCCAATGGATTCTCGTGCGATGGTCTGTTAACTTCGGAAAAAAGACAAGTTCGCTTATAGGTTAGCGCATCCTCGTTCATTCCTTTCAATTTAAAGTGTTCTCTAACGTTGACATACGTCTTCTTGAATCTGAAGTGTCCTCTGTCATGACATTCCTCAATAATCATACTCTTGATGTGTTCCTCATGTGGAATGCAAAGTCATGTTTCGGTTTTGTCAATGAAGAAGAGTAAGCCATCATGCATTCGATATTCAGGGAATACTTCAGTGTTTCTTTGTAGAGTCCCAATGATAGGACTCCAAATTGGATCATCAATATAACGCTTATGAATTTGGTCTTTCAATCCATTCCACATATCGAAGTAAAAAATAATAACTTCAAATAAATCAAATCGTATGGACAAAGCGTATGCAACAACATTAGACTTTTCCTTAAACCACCACTACCTTTCCCATGCAAACTCAAAGTCCATCTAGTAGCCTACTCCTGAAAACACGGGGCTCGGGGCAGGGTTGGAGGCCGACGAAAAAAGAAGAAAAAAAAGAAAAAAAAAAAAGAAAGAAAACGAAGAGTCCTCACTCCAGGGATGTCGGGAAAGACCCTCACGAGGGTGGAAGTTGTACCAGTGCTTGGACGAATGTATCTGGCTACTATGTTGAAAAATGGATCGCAGGTCGTTTTTCTTTTTCTTTTTGTATTGAAATCCTTGTAGTGCCCTGCCAGCCAGGCAGGGCGTGTTTCACAGGTGGCACGTAACTGTCTCACTGTTGTAGCATCATGTATCTGCCCTCAATCACAGGAAAAGGGATTCCTTTTTTTTTTTTTTTTTGCTTTTTTGTTTTTTTCCGTTCACGCCCTCATTGAGGGCACAGTCACACAAGTGCTTGGACGAATGTATCTGGTGGTTATCAAAGCGTTCGGGAAGGTTTTTTTTTTTTTTTTTTTTTTTTTTTTTTTTTTTTTTTTTTTTTTTTTTTTTTTTTTTTTTTTTTTTCCCTTCTTCTTTCTTTGATGAAACTGCCCCGGCTCGACTAAACTCGGTGCACAGTGAAAATCAGGGTCGACAAAAACAGGTTCGGAGGTAGTGATGGTTTAATAGTTTTTAATTCAAAGTCGAACGTATCAATAAATGCAGACCATCTAACTAACTTGTCATTCCACATATCGAGATAAGAGACAATAACTTCAAATAAATCAGATCGTCTGGACAAAGCATCTACAACAACATTACAGTTTTCCTTAGTAGTTTTCAATTGAAAGTCAACCGTATCAATAAATGCAGACAATCTAACTAACTTGTCGGACAGTCGAGGTCGAGTCTTTATCCACTTCACGGTAGAGTGGTCTGAGTACGTAGTGAAGTGTATCTGGAGCAAGCAGTGTTTCCATGTGTCCAGAGCTGCAACGAAGGCATACCATTCTCTGTAGTATGCGGAGTTAGCTACCTTATTAGACGGGAGACGCTTAGACATAAATTCAATGGGTCTATATCCTTTGCCGTCATCTTGTTGTAGCATCGCTTCAATTCTATACCGAGTATCATCAATAGTGAGAATGAAAGAGAGAAAAATAGATAATTTTGATTACAGTGTAGTGAGTTAACACATGCTTTAAGTTTTTAAATGCAAACTCACAATCTTTGTCCCATAACAAAGGTTTTTCTTTCTTTAAGAGTTTTTTTATAAGTGCAACTATCAGTGAAAGTTTCTTATAAACTTCCTGTAATAACTAGCAAGTCCTATAAAAGATATTAAGTCAATGACAGTCTTGGGTCTGGGCCAATCCCGAATTGCTATTATTTCCTTCTCTTCAGACCTTGATCCTTCTTCGGTCACTATGTGTCAAATGTATAATACCTCAGATATAGCAAACTCAGATTTCTTAGGATTCAGTTTGTATTTGCATTCTCGCAATATCTGTAGAACCATTCGCAGGTGTTCCTGATGTTCCTCAATTGTTTTATTATACACGAGGATATCATCGAGATATACTATTACGAATTGATCCAACCATTGACGAACACAATTCGTTCATAGATTTTTGGAAAGTAGCATGTGCATTAGTCAGTCCGAAAAACATAACCACAAACTCGTGGTGACCATACCTGGTTCAAAAGACTGTCTAGTGTTGATCTTCAAGCGCCACCTCGATCTGATGGTATTTCGACTTTAGATGAATTTTACTGAAATACTTGCTTCCCTGCAACTGATTCAGCAACTCATCAATGCGAGGAAGAGGTTTCACATTTTTCATAGTGACGAAATTCGACCCTCGATATTTAATACAAAATCTAAGTTATCCTTTATTTTCGGACACAAATAAAATAGGAGCGCCATAGGGAGAAAAACTCGATTGAATCCATCCTTTTTATGTGAGTTCTTACAATTGTTTCTTTAATTCTTCTACTTCCACAAGAGACATTCGGTAGATGGGTCCTTTGAGAATCTTACTTCAAAGAATGATATTGATAGTATGCTTG